GAGCCTACCACCCAAAAAAAGCCCAGGTCCAGATGGGTTCACAGCCGAATTCTACCAGACATATAAAGAGGAGCTGGTACCATTTTTTCTGAAACTATTCCAAACAATCCAAAAAGACGGAATCCTTCCCAAATCATTTTATGAAACCAACATCATCCTGATACCAAAACCCGGCAGAGACTCAGCAAGAAAAGAAAACTTCAGGCCAATATCCAAAATGAACATATATGCAAAAATCTTCAATAAAATACTGGCAAGCCGATTGCAACAGCTCATCAAAAAGCTTATCCACCATGATCAAGTAGGCTTCATCCCAGGGATGCAAGGCTGGTTCAACATATGCAAGTCTTTAAACATAATTTACAACATAAACAGAACCAAAGACAAAAACCACATGATTATCTCAATGGATGCACAGAAGGCCTTTGACAAAATTCAACAGCCCTTTATGCTAAAAACCCTCAATAAACTAGGTATTGACAGAATGTATCTCAAAATAATAAAAGCTATTTATGACAAACCAACAGCCAATATCATACTCAATGGGAAAAAATTGGAAGCATTCTCTTTGAAATCTGGCACTAGACAAGGATGCCCTCTCTCACCACCCTATTCAATATAGTATTGGAAGTTCTAGCCAGAGCAATCAGGCAAGAAAAAGAAATAAAGGGTATTCAAATAGGAAAGGAGGAAGTCAGATTGTCTCTATTTGCAGATGACATGATTGTATATCTATAAGACCCCATCGTCTCAGCCCAAAATCTCCTGAAACTGATAAGCAACTTCAGCAGAGTCTCAGGATACAAAATCAATGTGCAAAAATAAGAAGCACTCCTATACACCAATAACAAACAGCCACGTCAAGAATGAACTGCCATTCACAATTGCCATAAAGACAATAAAATACCTAGGAATACAACTAACAAGGAACGTAAAGGACCCCTTCAAGGAGAACTACAAACCACTGTTCAACTAAATAAGAGAGGACACAAACAGATGGAGGAACATTCCATGGTCATGGTTAGGAAGAATCAACATCGTGAAAATGGCCATACTGTCCAAAGTAATTTACAGATTCAACACTATCCCCATCAAGCTACCAATGACCTTCTTCACAGAACTGGAAAGAACCACCTTAAACTTCATATGGAACCAAAAGAGAGCCCGCATAGCCAAGTCAATTCTAAGCAAAAAGAACAAAGTGGAAGGCATCAAACTACCAGACTTCAAACTATACTACAAGGCTACAGTAATCAAAAGAGAGATATAGACGAATGGAACAGAACAGAGGCCTCAGAGGCAACACAACACATTTACAACCATACGATCTTTGACAAACCTGACAACAAGCAATGGGGAAAGGAGTCCCTGGTTAATAAATGGTGTTGGGAAAACTGGCTAGCCATGTGCAGAAAGCAGAAACTGGACCCCTTCCTGACATCTTACACTGAAATTAACTCCAGATGGATTAAAGACTTAAACATAAGACCTAATACCATAAAAGCCCTAGAAGAAAATCTAGGCAAAACCATTCAGGACATAGGCATAGGCAAGGACTTCATGACCAAAACACCAAAAGCATTGGCAACAAAAGCCAAAATAGACAAATGGGACCTAATCAAACTCCACAGCTTCTGCACATCAAAAGAAACAGTCACTAGAGTGAATTGGCAACCAACAGAATGGGAAAAAAATTTTGCAGTCTACCCATCTGACAAAGGGCTGATTTCCAGAATCTACAAAGAACTAAAACAGATTTACAAGAAAAAAACAAACAAGCCTATTCAAAAGTGGGCAAAGGATATGAACAGACACTTTACAAAAGAAGACATACAGAAGGCCAACAAACATATGAAAAAAATGCTCATCATCACTAGTCATTAGAGAAACGCAAATCAAAACTACATTGAGATACCATCTCACGCCAGTTAGAATGGCAATGATTAAAAAATCTGGAAACAACAGATGCTGGAGAGCATGCGGAGAAATAGGAACACTTTCACACTGTTGGTGGGAGTGTAAATTAGTTCAACCATTGTGGAAGACAGTGTGGCGATTCCTCAAGGACCTAGAAATAGAAATTCCATTTGACCCAGCAATCCCATTACTGGGTATATATCCAAAGGATTATAAATTGTTCTACTATAAGGACACATGTACACGAATGTTCATTGCAGCACTGTTTACAATAGCAAAGACCTGGAACCAACCCAAATGCCCAGGGATGATAGACTGGACAGGGAAAATGTAGCACATATACACCATGGAATATTATGCAGCCATCAAAAATGATGAGTTCGTGTCCTTTGTAGGGACATGGATGAACCTGGCAACCATCATTCTCAGCAAACTGACACAAGAACAGAAAATGAAACACTGCATGTTCTCACTCACAGGTGGGTGCTGAACAATGAGAACACATGGACACAGGGAGGGGAGCATCACACACTGGGGTCTGTCAGGGGGAAACAGGAGAGGGACAGCAGGGGGTGGGGAGCTGGGGAGAGACAGCATGGGAAGAAATGCCAGATACAGGTGATGGGGAGGAAGGCAGCAAATCACACCGCCACGTGTGTACCTATGTAACAATCTTACATGTTCTTCACATGTACCCCAAACTTAAAATGCAATTTTAAAAAACAATAAGGAAAATAAAATACAAAAATTAGCCAGGTGTGGTGGTAGGCACCTGTAATCCCAGCAACTTCGGAAGCTGAGGCACAAGAATTCCTTGAATCTGGGAGGCAGAGGTTGCAGTGATCTGAGATTGCACCACTGCACTCCAGCCTAGGTGACAGAGCAAGACTCTGTCTGAAAAAAAAGAAAGAGGGGTCATTATTACTGATTCATGCTAAAACATGGATAAACTTTAAAAAGATTATCTAAATGAAAGCCCGTTCAGAATAGGCAAAGGTATATAGATGGAAGGGAGATTCGCCAGGGCTGGTAGGAGGGGGAAATAGTGATTGCTAATGGCTCTATCTTTTGTGGGTGATGAAAAAGTTCTAGAATAGAAAGTGACAATGGTTGCACAAACTCATGAATACACTAAAAACTGAATTGTACACTTTAAAAGGTGAATTTTATGATAGATTAATTATGTAAATAAAAACCAATTCAAGAAAAAAAGAGGACATAGATATGGTTAGTTTCAAATACTGGTTACCCCAATTGCAGAATAATGATAAGCAAGTTCCTAAAGCGTCTAAGTGTCAATTATAAAATCAGGATGATAATAATCTCCAATAATTCTGTTTAATAGGATTGACAGAGGACAAAAATGAATTGATATATACATGTTACCTCTTAGCATAGTACTTGAGCAAAGTCTTAACTATTGTTTTCATCCCTACTGTTACCCGATTAAAATTAAAGAATGCCTAGTTTAGAATACAGAAGAAAATAAAACTAACCTAGTAAGTCTGTGTTTTTAAAAATTGAATTAATGTAATAAAGTATAAATAAAACTTTACCATATCTTTGTTCATTTTCTACCAACGGTCTGAACCTAAAGGTCTAAATGTGGTTGTAACTCAAACTAATAGAGCTTTACAAAAACATACCAATCTTATACATAGGAAAACAGGAAGAGAGAAGTAACATTAAGTACATCACTATTTTATCTAACTCTGTTTAACGAATAACAGGATATAAGGATGTATCACAAGGAAGTGGGGCTTACCTTGGGACTAGTACCAGACAACAAAAGAGGATATTCAGTGGGACCAGAGGAACATTAATGCCAAGGGATCCAAGGATCCAAGCAAATAAAAGCCTTCTATAAAAGACAGGCTGACAAAATTTTTATAACACCGTAGAGATGCCAGTTTCTAGCACCCATATCCAATGGTAATAATTATATAAATAGAGAGAGAGAAGGAACATGTATATACATCACTGTGTGGCTCATTTGAGAAAGAGATAGTTCCCTTTGGAGAGACACTGGCCACTTTGGATGTTAAGCACTTCATTATTCTTCCTGGTAAAACATGGGTCTTCTAATTTTCAAGACAGCTCTGAAGTCAAGTATTTCAAGAGCTTCTAAACAGACATACTTAAATGTTCCAGGGACTGTTTCAAGGATTGTACATTGAAGACCAGAGGAAGAATTCAAAGTACAAGCTTTTGAATGTTCCCATGAATAAGTCTAATCTTAACACTGTCTAAAGTCTCTTGCTGGCACAACTAAGAAGCGTTAGGCCGCCTCAATATGAAAAGTCTTGGAGCCCCATGGGATGGCCTTTTCCAAGACACCACAGAACTAAGTCTTACAATCTACAAAACATAAACATTTCTTTTATACCAACCTCTAATGGAACATATTCCTGGATATCAGATGAAGAACAGGTACAAGTTACAAACTGGTATTGAAGGACATAAATGGGCCCTTTTTCTTTTTTTTTTTTTGAGACAGAGTCTTGCACTGTCACCCAAGCTGGAGTGCAATGGCCTGATCTCGGCTCACCACAACCTCCGCCTCCCAAGTTCAAGTGATTCTCCTGCCTCAGCTTCCTGAGTAGCTGAAACTGAGCCACCATGCCTGGCTAATTTTTTGTATTTTTGGTAGAAACAGAGTTTCACTATGTTGGTCAGGCTGGTTTCAAACTCCCAACCTTGTGATCCGTCCACCTCAGCCTTCCAAAGTGCTGGGATTACAGGCATGAGCTACCACACCCAACCTAAGCCCATTTTTCAAACAAAATATTCCTCTCTCCATCCAGAAGAAATTTCAAATAAAAAAACTTACAGGCTTTTCAATATTGCCTTCCTTCTCGGATGGAAGTTGTAAAGCAGGTTGCCGGTGCAGGGAGCTGTCATTCATCTCTAGATCATCATGGAAATTCTCTAAAGCTGCTAGCTCAATGTACTGACCAGTCAAATCACATTGGTCATGTACCTGGGAAATAGTAAAAAGTAAAATAAAAACTAACAATACCATTTCCTGAAACAATACTAAGAAAGGCCACATTTCTTACAACTATCATTTTATTGTGTCTCACCTTTCTTTGTAGTTCAGCAACTCTTTCACTGCACACAATATTTTCATTTAGGCTACAGCATTCAGCATCACCATCCAGAGTTACGACATCAGACTCAGCCTTCCCCTGTAGGCCCTCTACAAAATAGAAATCATTTGCATAATTGTATATATAGTAAAACTATACTCAACTCCCATAGGCCAAAGAATTTCACCTTGGTGTCACCTTTCAGTAATGTCTCTTGGGTGACTGCAATTAATGATGCATCACTAGTCAACGATAAAGCACTTTGTGACTTTGCATCGCACGCCACCAAGTTTGCTGAAAAGCTGCTTCCTACAGCTGCAGGCCGACCTTCGATGGCATTACTACAGTTAACATCCTTACCCAAATTAAAGTTTGAGTAATCTGCAACTTCTTCAAAGGTTGGCTGCTTTTAATCTTGTAAAACCAAAAAATATGAAGTTAATACTTTCACATAATACATAACATCTGAAGATCCTACCTTCTCTTCAAGGTCAAGAGAAGGAACAGACTTTATTTTCCCAAAGGGAAGAAATTGTTTATTGTTTATATCACACTGAAATAAGGCTGACTGTGCTTGCCAAGACCAACAGCCTGATTGTAAGATTTTTCACTCAAAGAAGCAGATGACTTAAGCTCTGGAATAACACAAGGTGGCTTAATAAACATTTTCTGAAGAGCATTAGGGGGTGATTTTAAATTTGGATGCCAGTATAGAAAGCTATCATCATCATCCTTTTTATCCAATAGTTCTGAATCTGCTGATTCAAACACCCCAGGAGTAGACTGATGGTATGGATGTTTAAGCCTATCAAAGAAAGAGTTTTCATCATTATCATTTAATGGAGGAAGATCTGGATTTTTTGTTCTCTCTCTTGGCTGTCATCTGCTAAAGATTTTCTGATATCAGCCTGGATTTTATTTATTGCACCGTCTTTCTTAGAAGGCTCAATAGAGGCAATAACTGCCCGTAAGGCTACATTTTCAGCAGCATCAATATTTTTCTCACCAAAAAAAGAAGTTCCGGTTTGGTTTCTCTCCTCTTAAAAATACAGTTATTCTGATGTCTCACACAAGTTGGATTTAACAGTTGGCGGAAGACCACCAGAAGCCTCCACTTGAGAGGTATCATGTGCCCTGGAGAGTACATGTGCCTCTGAAACTTTTACAGAATTATCAGGAGCTATAACATTCCTAATGTACTATATTTCTGAGGATGTGGGTTGCACTTCTGAAGATACTAAATTATTTCTAGTCTCCATTAGTTCAAAACATTGAGATGATTCTTTCTGCAAATCTTCATTTCTTTCATAACTCTCCAAATAATCCATCTCTTGTTTTGCCTCAATCTCAGCTGGAGCCCTTAAATAAACATTTTCAAAATAATGACTACCCGAAGTCAAGGGAACCCCTTTTCCTCTTATTTCCAACAAACAATGCAAGAAAGAATATGACATTTTATTATGATGATGAAGAACAACTTCATGTGTAAAGGAAGCATGGTCCTTACTGATTACACATGCTTCTGGGTGGTGCAAAGTTTCCTCTCTGTTCCATGGCACACAGGAAAAGGGGACACTAAAATTGTTACTTCCCTTGGAAATTTTCTTTTCATCAATTGGGTCAAATGAATCTGAAAAAGAATCAGGGTACTTACTGGTTAAATATGTTTCTGCCTGCTTAGGTAAAGCTTTCTGTTTCCAATACTGCCCATATGAACAAGCGGCATCAAAATGGTCACTTCTTTCAGTAGCTATGTTTTCATCAGTTATGTCAGATGAAGTTGCAATTGAAACTTGATCTTTATCAGCTAAATTGGTTTCAGGCTGCTGTGTATCTTTTTGTGTCTCCCATGACATATATAAACAAAGAGCATCATAACTATCACCGTCTTTGGGGATTTTCAGTTCATCAATAGATAAAATCGTCTCTTCATTATTCCCTTGTTCAGAAGGTAAAAAAGGGCACTGAGACCCAACAACTGTGCTGCCTATAAGTGGGTGCTGAGATATACTAAAGCAACTGCTCGCTAAGTCTGAAGCTACTTCTGCAGTAGCCTGGAATAAAGCTTCACTAACTTCCGATGGTCGAGAAAACCACTCAGTGTCTTCAGACTTATCAGGAATCTCCCTGAAAATATATAGTTAAAAATAAATAAATAACAATTAAAAACATTTAATTTTTAAGTACTAACACAAAAATACATATGTCATTGAAATCAAGTTTATTTGAAAAGTGTATTGAAAAACAAAGCTCTCCTAATTTCAGACTCCTTTAAGATGGCTAATGACTGAACAAAGCAAATTCTTTGTTACCAAAAGGTGAACTACCACCCAATGACCCTAATATTATCTCAGGCTTCTCCTAAAACAATAGACACAATGTAATTTTCATAATGACGCCTGCCATGATCTTTAATTTAACCTGCATTAACTTTACTAGTCATTTATTATGCTCTTGAAAACCATGCAAGGCCAAGCACAGTGGCTCACACCTGTGACCCTAGCACTTTGAGAGGCTGAGGCAGGAGGATCACCTGAAACTAGGAGTTCAAAACAAGCCTTGGCAACACGGCAAGACCCTGTCTCTACAAAAAAATTAAAAATTGGCTGGGCATGGTGCGCATGTCTGTAGTAATAGCTATTGAGGAGGCTAAGGTAGGAGGATTGCTTGAGCCCAGAAGTTAGAGGTTACAGTGAGCCATGATGGTACCACTGCACTCCAGCCTGGGCAACAGAGCAAGACTCCATCTAAAAAAGAAACAACCAACAAACAAAAAGAGAAAGAACACCACTCAAGAAGCGATCTATTACAAAAACACAACAGTAACTTAATCATTAGTTGATGACTTAACGTGTACAGATCACTTTTCATAAAAGTGATACAAGGTAATATATAGTATAAGGACAGGGGTTACTTTTTGCTTTCTAAACATCTATAGTTTTTAATTTAAGGTGGGGTTTTTTTTCAGTTCTAAAAGAGGAAAACATATTCTTGAATAATTCCAAATATGTTTTTTGAACACTCGAGACTTTTCTCCCATTATGATTATTCTAAAGGACATGAATTTGGAGTATCTGTTAATTTGCATATGTCTGTTTATAAAAAGTTTCTTACTTCATATTCACACCTCCTGTAAAGTAAGGAGAGCTAACTAGTCTCATTCAATAATAGCTGAATAAAATGAGAGTGCCAAACAAGTTAGTCACCCAGAAATAAATGCTTTTTGCAGAATAAAGATGAGAGGGAGGAGAGAGATGATGGGCAATAGATGGGGAGATTTATAAGAAGGAAAATCTAGTGTGCCTTCTAAATTAAAATATGCCTGACATACCTGAATACATTAGAAATACCTGAACATATTAGGAATTTTTTTTTTTTTTTTTTTTTTTTGAGACGGAGTTTCGCTCTTGTTACCCAGGCTGGAGTGCAATGGCGCCATCTCGGCTCACCGCAACCTCCGCCTCTTGGGTTCAGGCAATTCTCCTGTTTCAGCCTCCTGAGTAGCTGGGATTACAGGCACGCGCCACCATGCCCAGCTAATTTTTTTTGTATTTTTAGTACAGACGGGGTTTCACCATGTTGACCAGGATGGTCTTGATCTCTTGACCTCGTGATCCACCCGCCTCGGCCTCCCAAAGTGCTGGGATTACAGGCTTGAGCCACCGCGCCTGGCTAGGAATTATTTTTAAACAAACTATAGTCATCTGATTCATCTCTACACGTTACTCTGCCAAATTAATATGCATCAAGTCTTAGTACAGGACTTCATTACCTTCAGAGTGTGTGCTAAGAGTATCTAAGCCCCACATCAAAGTCCTGCCTCAGCCTGAAGTCACTAATATGAGTAATAACATAAAACAAGAAAGGAGAAAGGTTACCTGCAAATAAATCATCCTACCTCAGAGGTGCAAAACTTAGTTCACTTTGTTGAAATAAAGAATCAGGTGTAAATTCTTGGTCTTGTGTCAAACATGTCAACAGAGGCAAATCAGGAGAAGCAAAGCTATCTTGTATGACTGTAAAGTTTCAAATATAAAAATGCTGAGTAATGCTGAAAATCAATTATTTACTTAAATACTTTAAAGCACCTATATATGCTACCATGTGGAGAATTCTACAAGCATTACAATAATAATGTAAAAGCAACAGCAGTAGCAGCTACCATTTATTGAGAGCCTGACAAGGTCCAGGCACTTAACATACACTATTTCATTTAATCCTCATGACAACCTTGAAAGATAGGTATTATTATACATATCTCATAGGTGAGGAAACATGATTACAAAACTTACGACGCAGTAACTTGTCCACATTCAAGTAGCTGAAATGCCGAAGTAAGATTTGAACCCAAGCATTCCAACTTTTAGCAAATGCTCTTACTATCATGTCAAAGTATGGCATAGACGTTCCTGAGCCCTAAGACACTCTTACGAGGTACCTAGTGTCAAAATTTTATTCAAAATAATATTAAGATATCATTTGCCCTATTCACTCTCATTCTCTCAAAAGGATACAGTGACATTTTCCAGAAGCTACAGAATGTAAGATACGGCAACGGATTGAATACAGAAACAGGCATGAGAATCTTGCTATCTTCTGTTAAGTCAAGACACTACAGAATTAAGTAAAACATGGCCATACTTCTAAACATTTTTGTATTGGAAAAGTTCTTTTTCTATAAAATATGTACTCTTTCAATGAATTAATAAGTATCTATTTAATTTTTCAGTTTTAATTTCTAATGTGGGAAATATCAATAACCCAAACAAACAAAAGCTCTTTGGAGTTGTCAGTGATTTTTAAATGTGTAAAAGAATTCTGTTACCCAAAAAGTTTAACTGCTTTAATGAAAAAACAAAAAAAATTCTTGTGATTTCGTGAATGTTGACTTAAATCATTTGTATTTTAATCAGTATACTTTCTTGATTTCAGAATGATGTTACAAAGTGTACTGTGTACAAAGTGAGGACTCCTCTCTCACACCACTGTTCCCCCTGAAATTACTGCAAACCAAGGGTTCACAGATCTCACCAGGTTGTCATCTGCCCCTCACTTGGTCAAAACATGTACTGTCACTGCTCACATACCCCGCACATCTTCCATATAATTCATCGCCCTCTTGTTTTAATCTTTGGTCTATCCACTTCCCATCTAAATTATCAACTCTGTGTCTACTTTATCCATAGCTATGTCCTCAGTGCCTAGCAAAGTACCTGCTACATTTAATAGGTACTCAAAACAGAGTTATTTATTTACTGAATGAATTAATTAAAAATGAGAAAATGATACATAACAATACCCTTTGCCACCAAGAAACAATTGGTATGGTTCCTCTTTGGCCTTAGCACAGAGAATCAGTCTTAAACCTCCATAACAGTTCTTCACCCCTCTAAAAATCATGAAGAGTTTTTAACAACTCCCCAAATACACTAGGGCTAATGCTACAAGGGGGACCTTTGGGCAAGTAAAGCAATTTTACTATTTCCAGTTAATTGTAGGCTGAGTATTTAAAGAACCTGAGAGTCTTTTCTCAAAAAAATTAGAGTTATCCCTTACCAGGTTTCAAAACCTACAGAAATCCTCAGTACCTAAAATAGCTATTTAAGTATAAGTAAGGAATAGTAAGTAATAAGTAAGTTAAAGCAGCATTTCAGCATCTCCTTACATTTTTTTTTTTTTTTGACAGAGTTTCGCTCTTGTTACCCAGGCTGGAGTGCAATGGCGTGATCTCGGCTCACCGCAACCTCCGCCTCCTGGGTTCAGGCAATTCTCCTGCCTCAGCCTCCTGAGTAGCTGGGATTACAGGCACGCGCCACCATGCCCAGCTAATGTTTTTTTGTATTTTTAGTAGAGACGGGGTTTCACAATGTTGACCAAGATGGTCTTGATCTCTTGACCTCGTGATCCACCCACCTCGGCCTCCCAAAGTTCTGGGATTACAGGCTTGAGCCACCATACCCGGCCTCCTTAAATATTTAAGAATATTTCAGGTTGGAGTTGGACAGTTAAAATCAGGTAAATTGGAAAACTATCTTCCTAAAAGAGCAGGCCAAAACTGAAGAGTTAACGATTCTTAAGTGTACAACATTATCTGTGTGTGTGTGTGATGGGAAGGTGGTGTATTTTATTTGCCATGCCTTTTTTTTTACAGCTTTCAACTGCTTCTTGTTTCAAGTTTGGACATCTGTTACTGGCTTGGATCCCTCTTTTTTGAGATAACTAACCATTCTGGCACCAGCCATCATCAATGACATTTGCCACTGGTGAGAGCCTAATTATCACAATGTTAGTACTTACACACAACAAAACAGCAATGATAAAATGTCCTCTGCCTATCAGATGCAGGAATCTACTCCAATAATTTAAAATGTTCTGCCCTGTCTATAGTAAATGAGATGCTAGAATTATAAAACTTTACATTAGAAAACATTTTGGAGGTCACAAAATACAATCTCCTCCCCAGTGCTAAAACGCTAACACAGAATTTTGCTAGATATTCTGCAGTGACATGAAGCTCACTTTTTGTTGTTTAATATAGCCTTTTCTACTATTAAATGGCTTTGACTATTAGAAAGTTCTTTTTTATATCAATTTGAAAAACCGTTTCCCTTTAAGTTATATATTCATTTTAACCTCTAGACTAGGAGTTAGCGAACATTTTTTTATAAAGGGTAAGATGGTGAATATTTTCGGTTTTGTTAGTCACATATAATATGTCACATACACTACTGCTGTTTATTTTTACAATCCTTTAAAAAATGTAAAAATCATTCTTAGCTGATGAACAGTACAAAATCAAGCCTTGGCCTGTAAACTATAGTTTGCTGACTCCAGCTCTACACCATTGCAACACAAATGCCATAGTACTGTTATTTTCTGTTTACTGATTGCCTTCCCAGAAGAGGAGGTAGCTTTCATCTATATATCCCTAGCATCAAACACACAGGAGGCACTTAGATATCTGCTACATGAATGAGTAAGTTGCTTCCTCTTTAGTATAACAGCCCTTCAAATATTTGACCATAGCAAAGTCTTTTCTTTTGTCTACCAAAAGATAGTCATCTCCTCCCACAAAAGTATTCTAATTTTGTCAACATCTTTCTTAAAATGTGGACCTAAAATTGACTTTAATGATCCACATATAGAATACGATGGCACTAATATCTTGATTTGGATAGCATTAGTTTATGTTTGCAAAGAACTTGCTGAATTAAGTCCTATTCATCCTTCTATACAAAACTATAAAACCATCTTCATGATTGAATCCCTTAATGATTATAAAAGTACTAAAAGTTTATCTTTTATAAAGAGCTAATAAATCAATTCTATACTAAACAGAGGAAAGCAGCAAGATCTACCCCAGATAAGCCACTCAACCTCTTTACCTCAGTTTTTGGTTTGAAAGCTGAGGACAATAGCGCATGCCTTAATTAATTCTAAAAATAAAAAAGGTAAATATAATAGACATGTTTTTTGGTTTTTGGAGGAATCATGGAGTCTCCATTGCTGAGAGAACCAAAGCATAATATATTATTCACCCCAAAAACTGCAAATTCAAGACTGAGGAAGCACACACAGTAGAAAGTTATCACCTTTCTGCCTTCTGTGAGGAATGGGAGGTGATAAAATGAGAGGAAACTGCAAACTTAATATAACTAGATTAGCGAGCCAGTTTAAAAAAATAAATAAAATAAGCTCATCCCTTTGAGAAGGGCTCTATAGAGCTCCTTAACTCAAAGAGGGTAAAGTTACAAGACTTGCAGTCCCCGTAAAACTTACAAATGTGAAGTGAGGTATTCCTACTAGTAAAATAAAGAGGCATTACCTAGCAATGGAGAACAGAAGAGATCTCTGCTGAGCTCCTTTACTTGATTTTCTGATTGGGTCAATATACCCTCCTCCAGAGAGGGGAAGTCTGTCACTTCGGTATCTTCCGTTCTCACATTAAACCTGGTCTCGGATGTATCCAAGGTTTGCGAAGAGTCTACTTCTTGAGAAAGATAATACCAAGATTCTGTTTTCTAAAACAATTTTAAAGGAAAACATGCTAAGTCATTAAGTGAGTTACCATACATATTTAGATTAAAATGTTCACTAACATATCATATAGCTTCCTACTTAATGACATTCTCATCAGAGTTTAGAAAATGTAAAGCTGTTCTGTTTCTCACAATATTAACTACATTTTACACCTCTTCCAATTACTACACCTCTTTTTTTAATGCAAAAAAAAACTTTTTATACTAAGTTTTATTGTATGCTGCTGCCAGTATATATAAAACAATTACCCTTGTGAAATAGAAATCCATGAAAATTCAGAAAGGTAGACGTTAAGGGCTGACAATAGAAGTTGTGTATTATGGCACATGTGTTTCAGGGATAAGCTTCTGTATGGGCTTCAAATGTTGCTCTCTTTTAATATTCACTGTATCACGAGAAGTGGCTTGGGAAACCTTTGAAAGATTCATTTTACTATAAAAAGGAACAGACTTTCTGGGTCTCAAAGGATTTATACTCGATGATACTCCAGTCAGCAGAGGGTCATGTTGAGCAACCTGCAGACAGAATTGTTTCAAGTCTGCAGCTACCTGGGAAACTTTCACACAGCTGAGTTCAGTCTTCAGCCAGAGTTGTTGAACCACTTTCTTCACAGTGGCGACGCTGGAGGACCCAGATATGGTGCACACAAAGGCTAGGCCGATTTGTGAGTCCTACTACACATCTCATAAAGTGCTGAAGAATCACTAGCATTTCCACTATATTGTTAATTCTCATCATTAAATCAATAAATTTGGTTCTACGTAACATTTTATAATTTGATAATAAAACTGAAAAAATATTACAAACCTAAAGCTGAAGTATTCTCTACATGAGACCACTTGATTAAATTTTTATTAGCTCTACTAGTTTCTAAAGGATCCCTGGCTCTTCTCAGTATATAACATTATCATATCACCCATGAATGTCTCTTTCAAATATTTACTCTAAAATTAGTGGCAAGATTCAGAGAACTGCTTCTCAAACTATCTACGGGGAAGTTTTTCCTACTTCCAACTCCTCACAGACTGACATTTTACTTAACTGCTAACAAAAATTAATGAGAAATAAGCTAATTTTTAAAACTAGTAAAAATAACTAGAAAAATGAAATTTAAAAGGCATATAAGACCAAAATATGAAACACAAGTCCAAATGTTTGATTTCTAGGTATAAAGAAAGATAAAATTATTCTATCAAACTGCTATAAAAGTTTCTAAAAACTTCCTCTCAATTTTTGTACTTCTTTCTTGACAGACCAGTAACAGGCAAATCATGGAGTGGCACCAATCCACAGATCACAATAAATAACAAAGCTGAATTAAAGTTGAATTAAATACTAATGGTGACAAGTTTAAAAGGCATTTTCCTTTTGAATTTAATATTAGTTAATAAGTATATTCTATCATGATATGAAAGTATTTTCATTTTCAAATAATTTCAGAAGAAATGAACACTAAATTAGAACAATTTTTTTTAGACAGGTTCTTGCTATGTTGTCCAGGCTGCACTCATACTCTGGGCTCAAGTGCTTGATCCTCCCACTTCAGCCTCCCCAATCAATAAATTTCTTTATATTGAAACATGTTCACATTTCTTACACAGTAGTGGTAGATCACTTTTAAATGTTTGCCAACATATTCTTTAACATTTTCACACATAGTCATAACTAAGATTAATCAGTATTTTAGAATGCCCTCATTTTCTTGTTTCACAATATTGTTCTATATTTATTTTATATGAGCAAATTCAATTTTCTTTAAAAATTTAAAAGATTTCATCCGTGAATCTATTAGGTCCAAAAACCTTTTTGATAGCTGGTACTATCATAACTTTCTCAATTTCCTCCTTAGTCATCATAGTCCACCTCTATAAAATACTGATAGATTTGTATAAAGTCTACTTCATTGGGATGCATTTTAGGATGCACAGGACAGCCCCCCACAATGAAGAATTATTCAGCCCAAATGTCAATAGTACCAAGGTGGAGAAACCCTGGTCTAGAAGAAAACATAGAAGAAAAATCTCAGTGACATAGGATTAGGCCATCATTTCTCAGATAGAACACAAGATGTACAAACCACAAAAGGAAAAAAAGAATCAACAAACCAGTTTCATCAAAATTAAAACTTCGGTCTTTCAAATACAGGAGAATACAAAGGCACGCCACAGACTGTCTTTGCAAAATAAGTACTGATAAAGGACTTGCAGCTAGAACTGCAAAGAACTCTCAAAGCTCAAAAAATGAAACAAACCAGCCATAGAAAATCAGGAAGAGATTTTAACAGATCTTTCACTGAGGAAGAAACATGGAGGGCAAATAAGCACACAAAAGGATGATAAATATCATTAGTCATTAGGGCAACACATATTAAAATTACAGTGAGACACCATAATACATCTTCTAGAGTGTCTAAAATTAAAAAAAAAAAAAAAAAAACTGATGACAGGTGCCAAGAATTCAGGGCAACCAGAACTCTCATCTACTACTGGGAATACAAAATTGTATAGACACTTTTGAAAAATAGTTTGGCACTTTCTTATAAAGTTAAACATACAATTACCTTATCACTCAACAAACACATTCTTGGGGTTTGTTTTTTGTTTTCTTTTGAGACAGAGTCTTGTTCTGTCACCCAGACTGGAGTGCAGTGGTGTGATTTCAACTCACTGCAACCTCTGCCCACTGGGTTCAAGCAATTCTTCTGTCTCAGTCCCCTAAGTAGCTCGGATTACAGGAATGTGCCACTACACCCGACTAATTTTTGTATTTTTAGTAGAGACAGGTTATCTACTAAACCATATTGGCCAGGCTGGTCTTGAACTGCTGACCTCAAGTGATCCACCTAACTCAGCCTCCCACAGTGCTGGGATTATAGGCATGAGCCACCATGTCTAGTCATTCCTAGGTATTTCCCAAGAAAAAATGAAGCTATGTATCCACTGAACCTATACACAAATAGAATACTACTCAGCAATAAAATTTAAAGTGGACAAATTATTGATACATGCAACAACATGGATGAATCTCAAAAGCACAAACCAAAAGAAGCCGGATTCAAAATATTCACTGTATTTTTCTGAAAAGGTAAAACTAAAGAGAAAGAAATTAGATCAGTAGTTGCCAGGGACTAGAAGTGGGCTAAGTTACTGACTACGAAGGGGCACACAGGAGCTTTTTGGGGGTGATGGCCATGTTGTCGATCTCAAACGTGATGGTGGCTACATGACTGTATATGTATGTCAAAGCTCACTTGACAAACTGAACACCTAAAAGAGTAAATTTTGATATGTTTAACTTACACCCCAATAAACCTTCTTTTTAAATTGCATTTTAGGTTTTGGGGTACATGTGAAGAACATGCAAGATTGTTGCATAGGTACACTCATGGCAGTGTGGTTTGCTGCCTTCCTTCCCCTCACCTATATCTGTCATTTCTCCCCATGCTATCTCTTCCCACCTCCCCACCACCCTGTCCCTCCCACATTTCCCCCCAATGGATCCCAGTGTTTAGTGCTCCCCTCCCTGTGTCCATGTGTTCTCATTGTTCAACACCCGCCTATGAGTGAGAACATGCGGTGTTTGATTTTCTGTTCTGTGTCAGTTTGCTGAGAATGATGGTTTCCAGGTTCATCCATGTCCCTACAAAGGACACGAACTCATCATTTTTGATGGCTGCGTAATATTCCATGGTGTATATGTACCACATTTTCCCTGTCCAGTCCATCATTGATGGGCATTTGGGTTGGTTCCAGGCGTGGTGGCTTGCGCCTGTAATCCCAGCACTTTGGGAGGCCAATGCGGGTGGATCACAAGGTCAGGAGTTCAAGACCAGCCTGATTAACACAGTGAAACCCTGTATCTACTAAAAACACTAAAATTAGCCAAGCATTGTGGCGTACACCTGTAATCTCAGCTGCTCAGGAGGCTGAGTCAGGAGAATCGCTTGAAACCAGGAGGTGGAGGTTGCAGAGAGTCAAGATCATGCCACTGCACTCCAGCCTGGGAGTGCTGGAGACAGAGCGAGACTTTGTCTCAAAAAAAAAAAAAAAATTCACTGTAACAGGGAACGGAATATTGAATGAAGCAGTAGCTGGAAGGGAAGAGAGGATGAGACATTTGCAGTGAAGTAGCTGGTGATGACAAGGTCTAGACTTTGATCATGGGATGAGTAACTACATACATGTAGGAGCAGACTAGAAGGAGACATGGAAGTAAAGATTGCTGGAGGTTAGATGAAATGTCTGAGAACTTCAGGCATTGAAAGGGTAACGTATGTTGACGTTAAAGAAACTAAAAAAGAGAAGAAGACAATGTAGCAAGAGCTAGTTTTCCATGAATAAAGAAAGGTAATTCAGATGACAGTAATAAAGATGAACAATGATAGAATAAAAAGGACTAAAGGAGGAAGTGAACTAGAAAGTGGCATAATGTTCCAGCTATTCTGAAGAACCCAGGCATAAAGGATGAAATGAAGTACTTTAGGATCCATCATGGTTCATATTTTATAAAACAGGAACAAAAGGAAGACATCAATTTTTGGACTTTGCTCTACCAAAAACAGGCCCTCAGAAAATATTATTTAGAAATTTGTCCCTGTATTAGTTTCCTAGAGCTGCTATAACAAAGTGACACAAACTAGGTGGCTTAAAACAACAGACATTTATTCTCTCGTAGTTCTGGAGGTCAGAAGTCTGAAATCAAAGTGTTGGCAGAGTCGTGCTCCCTCTGAAGTCTCTAGAGGAGGATCCTTCTTTGCTACTTCTACCTTCTGTAAGCCCCAGGTGTTCCCTGGATGTGGCAGCATAACTCCAGTTTCTGCTTCCATCTTCACATGGCCATCCTCTCCTCGTATGTTTTTCTCCTCACGTGGTGCTTTCCTCTTTCACAAGGACACCAGGTATATTGGATTAAGAGCACATCCTACTCCAGTGAGATATTAAACAATTACATCTGTAATCACCTTATTTCCAAATAAGGTCACATTCTGAGGTACTGGGGATTAGGACTTCAACATATAATTTGGGAGGGCACAATTCAACCCAAAACAATCCTCTTCCATTTAATGGCCCCAGGTACTGTGCTATTTATGGTCAGGAATGTCTTAACTCCTTTCTCTCAATGATAGTGTATCTCCCTCCCTCCGTATCTTGCATCTAACAGGTAATCCCTACAATTTAAGAAAAATTGAAGGTATTAGAAGAAATCTGATACTCAAGTTATTAATCAACCTTAAATATTTAACCACTATTAGTATGACTACATTTTTTCTCCAATAACTCTACATGAGCTTTTTTCTTATCTGCTCATGATTATTCCAGTTCTTCAACGTTTATAATTATGTTCTAGAACAGTGGTTCTCAAAGTATGGTTCAAAGATGCCTGAGGGTCACTGACATCCTTTCAGGGACTGAATGACAACCTCCTTTCCCTAACTCCTTTTTCATCTATGTGAGGCCAGATTGTCTTCATATACTTCAACCAAAACAATACATGCCAACAAATGAAATGCGGAGCAGATTGAGAATCCAGCTATGATAGGTAATTTTATGTATGAAATTGACTGGGTCATGGAGTGTCCAGATATGTGGTTAAACATTACTTTGGATATGTCTGTGAGGTGTGTGGTTTTGTTGTTGTTGTTTATTTGAGATAAGAGTCTCATTCTATCATTCAGGCTGGAGTGCAATGACGCAATCTCAGCTCACTGCAACCTCCACTTCCCAGGTTCAAGCGATTCTCCTGCCTCAGCCTCCCGAGTAGCTGGGATTACAGGTGCGTGCCACTACACCTGGCTAATTTTTTTTTGTATTTTTAGTAAAGATGGGTTTCACCCTATTTGCCAGGATGGTATCGATTTCCTGACCTCATGATCCATCCACCTCGGCCTCCCAACGTTGTTTTAGTTTTTGTTTTGTTTTTGGTTTTGTTTTTTTTTTTTTTTTTTGAGACAGAGTCTCACTCCATCACCCAGGCTGGAATGCAGTGGCACAATCTTGGCTCACTGCAACCTCCACTTCCTGGGTTCAAGCAGTTCTCTTGCCTCAGCCTCCCAAGTAGCTGAAATTACAGGTGTGTACCACCATGCCCAGGTAATTTTTGTATTTTTAGTAGAGACAAGGTTTCATCATGTTGGCCAGGCTGGTGTTGAACTCCTGACCTCAGATAATCCACCCGCCTCAGTCTCCCAGAGTGCTGGGACTACAGGTGTTAGCCACTGTTCCCGGCCTGTGAGGTGTGTTTAAATGAGATTAATATTTGAATCTGGAAACTAAGTAAACCGGGTTACTCTCTCCAATGTGGGTGGGGCTAATCCAGTCCCTAAAAGGCCTAAATAGAACAAAAGGCTGAGCAAGACAGAATGTGCTCTCTCTGCCTGATCGTCTTTCAGCTGAAGGGCCTTCTACCTTCAGACTCAGATCAAAACTTACACCACTGGCTCTCCTGATTCTCAAGCATTTGGACTTGAATTGGAACTATACCATCAGCTCTCCTGGGGCTCCAGCTTGCAGATCTTCGGATTCTTGGCCTCCATGATTACATAAGCCAATTCCTTACAATAAATATCAATACAGATATATATATATAGATATAGATATACATACGTAGACAGATGTATATAGATAGATGTATCTGTCTCCATCCTATTGGTTCTGTTTCTCTGGAGAACCCTGAATTATGCACCAACTGACTTCTAGTTAGCCAGAATTTAAACAATCCTATTCTTCCAACTAATTTTTTTGTTTTAGAAAATATTCATTTTTTACTTTAAAATTATTATTTATGGTAATATGTAATGGGTTCTTTCAAAATAAATTTTAAAATATTATTAAATGTTTTAATTTCTTGTATCCTAAATATTTATATAGATAATCCACATAAATAAAAACTCTTAAAAACACTTTTGAAGAATATAGAGTCCTGAGGCCAGGTGTAGTGGCTCATGCCTGTAATCTCAATAGTTCAGGAGGCCGAGGCAAGAGGATCGTTTCAGGCCAGGAATTCGAGACCAGCCCAGTCTCAAGAAACCTCATCTCTATAAAATGTTTTAAAAATAAAAATAAGAGTCCTGAGACCTCCCTTCAAAAAAAGTGAACTGTTCCTCTACATAAAGTTTACAACAATCTATTAGAAAAATAGAGTATTTGGCCAGAAGTGGTGGTTCACTCCTATCATCATAGCACTTTGGAAGTCCAAGGCAAAGGATCACTTGAGGCCAAAGCTCAAGGCCAGCCTGGGCAACAAAGCAAGTCCTCATCTATAAAAAATTTTTTAAAAATAATTAGGTAGGTGTGATGGCGTTTGTAGTCCCAGCTACTCAGGAGGCTGAGGCAAGAGGATCACTTGATCCCAGAAGTTGGAGAGTGCAGTGAGCTATGATTATGCCACTATACGCCAGCCTGGGTGACAGAGTGAGACCCTGTCTTTTAAAAAAAAAAAAAAAAAAAAAAAAAACAGAAAGAAAAGAAAACAGAATATTAATTTATTTCTTCCCATTCTTCAGAGCTAAATCAAAATTTCTTGTGCTGCTTATCAAAAAAAAAAAAGTTTGCCAGTTGCAGAAGACATACCTGATCATCCCCAGAACCCTGCTGAGCTGCTGTTTCCACATTAGTATCAGAAATTTGTGTTCTACCATTGCCTTGATATAGTAACTGCTGCCATACATGACAGGTCAATGGAACAATCTGAAAATCAAAAGCATACTTAAATAGAGTAATAACACAATCACTATGATTATATAACAAAAATAAACTAATATTTAGACCACACTCCTCAATTTATAAAACCCTTTCACATATATGACATTTTTATTTCACAACCATTACATAAGCTATTATCCTTACTTAAAAATAAGAAAACAGGGATTTAAGGTTACTCAGTTAAGACCCAACATACTTTTGCATAAACCATAGCAGTTCCTTAACCTCCTTTACCCACAGAGGTAAAAGAAGCAAACAGAAATAAGCAAGTTGTCTATCTGTAAATCCTACTGGTTGAGACAGTTAAGAATCAACCCCAATAATAGGGATTGAATTCAACTCACAGAATAGGAAGTGGGAACAAAAGTCAAGGTCATTTTGCGAAGTAAGGGGTTAGAGTAGGGCTCTCCTACTGATGAAAGAAGGCAATAAAAGCTGTGACCATAGCCCAGGGCTGAAGGAACACAAATGGACAGACTACAGGCAATAAAACAAAAATGACCTGGTCAAGCCACCCACTGGTTCAGGGATTGGTTCTTGAGATTTTGTCCAATATCCCTGAAGAGTAAGAACCCAGAGATTCCAATATAAGATTTCCTTCTGAAGAGGAAGCCATAAGGGACAAAGCAGAAACAACCACAAAAGGAGTAGGCAGAGAAGAATGCACACAAAGAGAAAACAAAATAACCCTCTTACCAAAAATTAGATTAAAAACTATTAATTCCAAAAGACTTTAAAATAATATTGCAGATCCTCCAAGACATAAAGAAAGATACAAGGTGCATGGTGGCTCACACCTGTAATCCCAGCACTCTGCGAGGCCGAGGCAGGAGAATCACCTGAGGTCAGGAGTTTGAGACCAGCCTGGCCAACATGGTGAAAACCCATCTCTACTAAAAATACAAAAATTAACCAGGCATGGTGGCATGTATCTATAAAAGGAAAAATTAAAACATTCACAGATAAACAAAAGCTGAGTGAGTTCATTACCACTAGACCTGACCTGGAAGAAATGCTAATGGCAGTCCTTCAAGTTGAAACTAAAGGATGCTAGATAGTAACTTAAAGCCATAGGAAAATATAAGTTCTCTGGTAAAGGTAAATATATGGACAAATATAAAAAGATATTATTTCAGTTCTAGTGAGTAACTCCACTTTTAATTCTTTTATAGGATATAAAAGATAAAAGCAAAAAAATTAACTATAAATCTACATGCTATGATTTGAATGTGTATCCCCTCTAAAACTCATGTTAAAACTTAATCCCCAATGCGGCAGTATTGAGAGATGGACCCTTTCAAAGGTGACTGGGTCATGAAGGATCTGGCCTCTCATGAATGAATCATGAGGGCAGATCTGAACTGCTTAATGGATTGATGGATTAACGGCTTATCATGAGAGCAGACTGGTAGCTTTATAAGAAGAGGAAGAGAGACCTGAGCTAGCATGCTCAACCCCCTCACCATGTGCCTGTTACCACCTCAGGATTTTGCAGAGTCCCCACTAGCAAGAAGGCCCTCAACAGGCCCTCACCCGTGATCCTGGATTTCTCAGCCTCCATAATGTTATAAAATAAATTACCCATTTCAAGTATTCTGTTATGAGCAAGAGAAAACAAACTAAGAAAGTATGTTAATGATTAAACAATATATAAACATGTTACTTGTGACACCAGTAAGATGTTGTTAACAGGGTACTAATACTTTGGCCAAGTGCAGTGGCTCATACCTGAAATTCCAGCACTTTGGGAGGCCAAGGCAGGTGGATCATGTGAAGTCAGGAGTTTCAGACCAGCTTGGCCAACAATGGCAAAACCCCATCTCTGCTAAAAATATAAAAATTAGCCAAGCGTGGTGGTGTGTGCCTGTAGTCCCAGTTACTTGGGAGGCTGAAGCAGGAGAATCACTTGAACCCAGGAAGTGGAGGTTGGGGGGCAAAGCTAAAAGGACTAGAGTTTTTATACCTGATTGAAGTGAACTTGTTACTAGTTTAAACAGGTTGTTATTCTCCTAAGAAATTTTATGATATTCCCATGGTAACTACAAAGAAAATAGCTATAGAATACACACAAAAGAAAAAAAGAGTATCAAAATATAACCCCACCAAAAAATCAACTAAACACAAAGTAAAGTAGAAGAGAAGGAAATGAAAAACAAGCTAGGAGAGGACAAAGAAATTACCAAAAACAACACAAAACATAGGATTAAAAAACAGGACCCAGCTGTTTAAAAGACACTTACTTCGGAACTAAGACACACATAGGCTGAAGTGAGAGGATGCAAAAAGATATGCATGCAAATGGTAACCAAGAGAGATCAGTAGTGGCTACACTAATAACAGACAAAACACATTTTTAAAGAAAACTGATACCATAGACAAAGAAGAACATTATAGGGTCAATACACAAATAAGATATAATAATTATATATGCGTCAAACATTGGTGCTCTTAAATTCTTAAAGCAAACATTGATAAAATTGGAAAGGAGCTCTCCAAAAACAATGAGAGACTTCAAATAACCAACTTTCCATAACAGATAGAACAATGAGGCAGATCAGTAAGGAAAGAAAAGACCTGAACAGCACTATAGACCAACTGAACCTAACACATTTATACAGAACACTCCACCCAACAACAGTATTATTCTCAAGTGCACATGAAACATTCTCCAGGATACACCACATGTTAAGACACAAAGTATTAGATATCTTTTCTGATCACAATAGAATGAAACTAGAAGACAACTACAGAAAGAAAAGTGGAAAATCAAGAAATTTATAGAAATTAACAAACTCTTAAAAAGACAATGGGTCAAGGAAGAAGTAACAAAGGAAATAAGAAAATACATCAGGACAAAAATGAAAACACAATCTATCAAAGCTTATGGAATGTAGCAAAAGTAGGGAAATGTAGCAGAAGAAGGAAATCTATAGTCATAAATGCCTACATTTAAAAAAAAATTCAAGTAAACAACCTAATGTTACACCTTGAAGAACTAGAAAAACAAACTAAACTCAAAATGCTCAAAAGGAAAAAATTTTTATTAAAAAGGTTAGAGCAGAGATAAAGAAAAGAGAATAGAAAAACAATAGAAAATCAATAAAATCAATAGTTATTTGAAAAATCAACAAAACTGACAAACCTTTAGCTAGACTAAGAAAAAAAAAAGGCCTCAACTAAATTCAGAAATGAAAGAGAGGACGTGACAACCATGCCATAGAAATTATAAAAGAATACTATGAACAACTGTACTCCAACTAATTGGATAGCCTGGAAGGAACAGATAAATTCCTAGAAACACACAGCCTACCAAGACTGAGTAACATGAAAAAATAAGAAAATCTCAACAGACCAGTAACAAGGAAATTGAATCAATAATCCAAAACCTTTCAACAAAGAAAGGCCCATGGCCAAGTGCAGTGGCTCACATCTGTAATCCCAGCACTTTGGGAGGACGAGGCAGGAGAACTGCTTGAGCTCAAGAGTTCAAGACCAGCCTAGGCAATATGGTGAGATCCTGTTTCTACTAAAAAATACAAAGAAAATTGCGAGACATGGTGGTGCTCGCCTGTGGTCCCAGCTATTTGGGAGGCTGAGGTGGGAGGACTGCTAGAGCCCAGAGGGCAGAGGTTGCAGTTAACTGAGACTGCACCACTGCACTCCAGCCTGGGTAACAAAGTGAGACCCTTTAAAATAAAAAAAAAAAAAGAAAGAAAGAAAGAAAAAAGAAAAGCCCAGGACAAAAAAGCTTCACTGGAGAATTCTACCAAACATTTAAGAATTAACACCAATCCTCCTGAAACAATCCGAAACACTGCACAGGAGGGAACACTTTGAAATTATTCTATGAGGCCAGCATTATCCTGATACCAAAGTCAGAAAAAGACACTAGAAGACTATAAATTAATATCCCTGATGAGTACTGATGTAAAAATCCTTAAAAAAATATTAACAGTAAGAATTCAGCAGTACATTAAAAGGATTACACACCATAACCAAGTGGAATTCTTGGAATACAAGGATGGTTCAACATACAAAAATTGATCAATGTAATACACCACATTAACAGAAGGAAGGACAAAAACCACATGATCATCTCAAATGAAACAGAAATGACACTTTACAAAATTCAACACCCTTTCATTATTAAAAAAAAAAGTCAACAGGCTACAAACAGAAGAAAACTACTGCAACATAATAAAAGCCATATGTCCCACAGCTCATATCATACTCAATGGTGAAAGACTGAAAATTTTTCCACTAAGATCAGAAACAAGGCAAAGATGCTTGCTCTCCCCCTTCTATTAAACACAGTATTGGAAATCCTACTAGAGCAATTAGGTAAGAAAAAGAAATATAAATGGAAAGAAAGAAGTAAAATTATCTCTTTTCACAGATGGCACAACTCAATATACTGAAAACCTCCAAAGACTCCACAAATAGACACTGTTAGAATAAACAGGCCAGGCACAGTAGCTCATGCCTGTAATCCCAGCACTTTGGGAGGCCAAGGCAGGTGGATCACTTGAGGTCAGGAGTTTGAGACCAGCCTGGCCAACAATGGCAAAACTCGTCTCTGCTAAAAATATAAAAAATTAGTCAGGCATGGTAGCATATGCCTATAGTCCTAGCTACCTGGGAGATTGAGACAGGAGAATCACTTGAACCCAGGAGGTGGACATTGCAGTGAGCCAGGATCAAGCCATTGCACTCCAGCCTGGGTAACATAGTGAGACTATCTCAAAAAGAAAAAAGAATAAATAAATCCAGTAAAGCTACAGGATACAAAATCAATATATGAAAATCAGTTGCACTTAAGTATACAAATAACCACCTATATGAAAAAGAAATCAAGAAAACCATCCCATTTACGATAACATCAAAAAACAAATAAAAAGACTAAGAAATGCCGGGCGCGGTGGCTCAAGCCTGTAATCCCAGCACTTTGGGAGGCTGAGGCGGGTGGATCACGAGGTCGAGAGATC